GTTTCCTCTGGAATTCTTTGTTATTTTTATGATTATGTCTCCTTAACAACCCCCTCACCCCCTCCTCACTCTGGTTTATGACATGTGTAAGATGTTTCCCACTCCCCACCTTGGTTTATGACTAACTACTGTCACCTCCCCCCTTTGCCCCAATGGTTTGCAGTTTTCCTCTTTAAATACCTGTCACTCCAGAGCCTTGAGGTCAATGCTCCCCTTGTGAGCATTGGCCTCAGTCAACTGATACCCCGAAATCTGGAAATAAAGCCTTTTGCGGTTTGGATCCAGTTTCGGTGTCTTGCGAGTTGTTAGATGGTCCTGACATCCCGAGACTTGAGTGAGGGTCTCCCCTGAGTGGGGGGTCTTCAATATAAGCTGCATAATTATCCAATAGCATACACAAAGACAAAGAGGGGAATGAAGAGGAACTTTGGAACACTTGTTCCCCTCCCCCCACCATGGGAGATGCTAATTAGCATTCCTTAGTCAGAGGACACTTACTGGATTAACATTCCCCAAAGACCAATCAGTTTAAAAGTCACACTATTCTGCCAATCATATTGTGCCTAGTCACTGTTTCCCTAGTCCATCCCTTAAACTGTATAGAAACTGACCAAATGGGCTGCCTGGGGTCACCACTCCACCTTCGGTGTAGGAAGCCCCAATGCATTGGATCATTAAAGTTCCTCCTGCTTTTTGCATCTACTTACATCTCCCCGTGGTTCACTCCAGGGTCTCAGATAAGCTAAGGCTCCCCAAGAGTCTTACAGTGGAATACACATTATTGAAAAATGAAAAATAAAAACAGAAGTAAAGCAGAGGTTATCACATCCTGCTGAAAGCCCTCAAGATCCCCCAGAACTCAAAATGCTTCTTCCAGCAGGGTGCTGTGGCTCATGGACCTAATCTCAGGCAGAAACAGCAGGCTCTCTATGAGTTTGAGGCCAGCCTGATCTACATAGTGAGGTCCAGAACATCCAGGGATACATAAAAAGACCCTGTCTCAAAACAAAAAGACAAAGACTACTTGCCCTTGTCCCTGACCTAGAGCTCGCCCAACTTGAGAGGGAGAAATAAGGAACAAGGCTCATAAGGGTGAGTACTGCTTACAAAAGGAGCAGGGGGAGATTGAAGACCTGATATGTCAGATGGAGTCACTTCCTGCAGTGGACAGCCCCGGCCTGGCACAAGCCCCACTGATACACTCAAAGACATGCATTGTGCAAATGTGCACACATAAACACACAAAAGCATCTATACTTCCAGATATACATGCTTGCAGATGCTCCTGTAGAAACATGAACACATACACTTACAGGTACAAACACATGAACAAGTAAACATACACAGGTCCACATAGTACACACAGATATAGAGACAGATGTGTACAATATGCACATACTGTTTGGGTTTGCTTCTTGTTGCTGTGGGAAAGAAAGGATTTATTTGACTTGTGTGTCTTAGTTACTCTTTGAAGGAAGTCAGTGTAAGACCCAGAGCAATGGTTCTTATGTCTGGGATGTCACTCTCTAAGGACACAGAGACAGAGATCGATGCAATGTGCAAGTGGTTTATTGATTCATCCAGGGCACTGGGGCTGTTCCGCAATCAGAGCAGAGGTGACCCCGAAGAACAAAGGCATTCACTTTTTATACTAGGTTGTAGGTAGCATGAGTTGGTTATCTCTCATTGGTGGGGCCCATTGTTTTTTGCATTCAATGGCAGCCCCTGATGAGAGACATCTTTGGTATGTAGAAGGGGAGGTAAGGGGTCTCCCCTCTACCTCGACTGAGTCATTTCCTGGGACAGGGCGATTCTGGAATTCTCTGGCCCTGAGCTCAACAGAAAGTCTCAGCCACCTGGTAGTTTCTCAAGGGAGGAGAAAGTTCTAACTATCTATTCTAATCTTTAAATCAGCACAGGAACACAAGCTGTGGCAGATACCAAGGAGGAAAGCTGATTGCTGGCTTGTCTATTCTCCCATAGTTCTCTTATACAGCCCGAGCAAGTTTTCAGATGCCTAAAGATGGTATCACCCACAAAGGGCTGGCCCTTCTCACAAAAATCACCATTGAAGATGATAGCCCCACAGAAATGCCCACAGGCCAATCTAATCTAGGCAATTCTTGCATTCTAATCTTTGCATTCATGGCAGTCCCTGGTGAGGAGATATCTTTAATATGTAGAAGGGAAGGGAAGGGATACAGCAGCTGAAGCAAATGAGGAGAAATATGTTTACACTGGATCCGACATACACTCCAGCCATTTAAAGTGCACAATTCCGGGAGTCTAGTATGTTCAAACATGTATCGGCAAGGTGGTTCATGCCTTTAAGCCCAGCATTCAGGAGGCAGAGGCAGGTGAATCTCTGTGAGTCCCAAGACAGTTTTGTTTATCTAGTGAGTTCCAGGCCAGCAGGGGATAGATAAAGAGACCCTGTCTCAAAGTTAAATTAAATAAACAAGTGTATAGATAAATAAACCTGTGTGGCTATTTCCAACACCACAGGAAAAAAAAACACTCCAAAACCATTAGGAGTTTCTTCCTATTTATTCATTCCTTAGACACTGGCAACCACTAACAGATTGACTTTTTTTTCAGGATTTCATACAGGATAACTTGCACAGTGACGGGGTAGGTGTGTGGTTGGTGGCTTGGTTCGTTGGCTGGTTTGTGTTGGTTTGGTATAGTTGTGGTCTGCCTTCTTCTGCTTGTGGTCATGTTTTCAGAGTTCATCCACATTCTTCAGTGTAGCTTAGAAGTGTATTCATGCCTCCCAGTTGCCATGCAAGCACCCTACTGTGGGTTGGTGACAGACTGTAGTTATAGGATGCTTTCTTGCCTGGTGTGTGCAGGGCAAAGAACTCGGCAAAATACTGTTCACATTTACTATTTTTTAAAATCTATGTATGAGTTGATGGACATTCAGGTCACTTAAGAGTTATTTGTTTGACTCTTTCAAATGTTACCATGGAGCACTTGCTGCTCTTACAGAGGACCAGTACTCAGTTTCTGGCACCCACATATGGTGCACTTGCATGCATGCAGATAAAACACTCACACACATAAAATAAACATTTTTTAAATCTCAAGAAAAACTTTAAATACTACCATAAACATTGGTGTACACATTTGATCTGTTTGATCTTCTGTTTGCTATTTCAACAACACTTCACCATTGATAGCCACAACCCCAGGTTAACCTCTTGCTTTGGATAAGCACCTAAAAGTCCAACTGCTAGGTCACCTGGTAACTCTACATTCACCGGTTTCAAAAACTGCCTTTGCATTCTAGAACAGCTCTCCTGTTTCCAGTTTCCTGCCTGGATCTCGGGGTTTGTTTTTCTACATCTTACTACAATTTACTTAGGACAGCCAACCAGCCAAGAGGCCTTTGATACTATCTAGTTTTGTTTTTCAATTTTGTTCTGTTTTTATAGCGCTAATTCGTTTTATATTTATTTCTTTATTTTATGCATATGAGTACAGCACTATTGTTCCATTCAGACACACCAAAAGAGGTCATCAGATCCCCTTACAAATGGTTGTGAATCACCATGTTGTTGCTTGGAAATGAACTCAGGACCTCTGGAAAAGCAACCTGTGCTATAAACCTCTGAGCCATCTCTCCAGCCTGATGTTACTTAGTTTTGATTTGCTTTTTCCTGATAACTAAGGACATGCTTCCTGGCAACTGGCACAGTTGTAAACCTCTAGAGAAGTCCATTCTGATCTTTTACTATGGCCCAGGTGTTTAAGAAAGAATTAGCACCTCAAAGTTGTAGGAAGCCAGCCCAAAAGAATCTGAAGTTCCCTGTTACCAGGATCTCAGGGGAGATCTAACTCCAGGTAGGTTCTGGGAAGGAGGGGGAGGCTAGGGCAGGGCAGGCCACGCCCCGATGTTCCAGGAAGAAAGGCTTCTTAAATACTGCTGACTACACCTTCAAGGTTTCATTTTTGTGTCCTGACACCTCCTGCAGAACTGCTCTTGCTGGTGGCTCCCTTGCTGCTCACGGGTTGAACAGACAAGAGACCCTTCCCCCGGCACCCCAGAAGGAACTTGCTTCCCTTGGTGATCCCAAATACCTCAGTAGAGGTGAAGATCTAGGTGAGCCACCCTGCTACTCGGCCCCTCCCAGAGCCCAGCCGCCCCTACTCTGGTGTGGTCTCTACTCTATGGCCTGGATGCCTGCTTGTTAAGTTGGGGATTCAGCCTTCCAGAAGCCCCACTATACCAGACAGATTGAAGAGACCCTAGCAGCTAGGGCCTAGATGGAGGCCACCCACTACAGAAACAATGGGACCAGCCTGGTTTGTGCTTGATGCTGGCATGGGGAGGATGCAGGAGAGGGAAATGGTGAGAAGCACAGGGCACACTCTAGGCTTTTTGGATGAATGATGACTCCCTGTCCCATAAGTCCCTTCCTGATCCCCAAGGGTCTTCTTGCTTCACTGTCCATCATTAGTTCTAACCTGGTTTCCTAGGGGTATAACAGTTGCTGCACACTGCACAGGTTGACTACCCCAAGCCTGTTTTGACCTCTGACCCATGAAGGTTCAAGGAGGTCAGTTAACTCAGCTGTCCATGAGAGCCCTGGAGGAAACCACCGGCTTCTGGAACCATGGAACACTGGCTTTTCTGTGTGCTCCTGTGCCAAGTCTCTTAGAAGTGAGGGCTCAAGTATTTTCCCGAGCCTTGGCCCTCAGCCAAGGAGCCCAGCGGGGTATCTTAGACCAGCAGGTGGCCAAGGGTGACACAGTAATTAATAGTGTGGGAAGTGCAGGACCTGCTGCAATAGGCTACCTCCTCTTCCTCCTCAGTCAAGTGTCAGAGACCCCAGAGAGAGATAGATAAGTGAGCCACAGAGTGAACAGTGTCCCCTGTGTTGTGTTGGTCAGGCAGGATGTGCCAGGACTAACAAGGCAAGGCTACTCTGAAGAGATGGGGTTCCTGAGTGCTGGGAGAAACTGAGTATGGACCTCTGCCATCCGCCCCAAGGATCATGACATCAGCCTTTGAGAGAGTGGTCAAGAGTGTGATCCAGAAGGTGGACCATGGCAGAGGAGATCTCATCCCAGTGGACTATGCTCCAAATTCAATCAGCTTAAAGCCCTACTGCCTCCTGAGCAGGAAACACTCAAGCTCTTGGTTCTGGAAACCCCATTATAAATTTCTCAACCTGTCAATCAAGGACATCCTGGAACCCAGTGTTCCAGAACCATGTACCTCCTTTACCCACTCCCCTCCTTCCCATCCTGAGCCCCCAGATTGAATAGAAGAAGGCAGTGGGTGAAGCCCAGCCTGCCATCTTACTGGGCACTTTCAGTTATATTTCTCTGGCCCCATTTCCAGAGTGGGGAGTTCTTTAAGGCCCATTGCTGCATATGAAAAACAAGGCAGTGGATATTGGAATAGGACTGTAGAGCTGGTCTCGTTTTAGAACCGGAGTGTACTGGCCATTTCCAAATCTCTGACGACATCGATGGAAACAAACAGGGCAGTGTGCCATGGTCACACATGAGAGAATGGAGAGTTTCTGGTGGGGCTGCAGCATCTGACAGTTCCAGTGCCTCCATGAGTATGTGTATACTGCGTGTGAATCCGAAGACCTGGGATATCATGAAGAGTGAAAGGTGAGTCCCGGTAGGGATAACAGCTCTCTTACTTTGAGCATCCATGCTTCTTGGGAAGGTTGCTGGGTTCTGGGCATCAGATGGGTTCTGAGGCAGTATCTCTCAGCACTGAACAAGGGAAGTCCAAGAGGAAGGGAGCACTATAAACAATGTAAGTGGGGGGGGATGTTAAACCTTGGTTGCCAGGACTGTATCCTGAAGATCAAAATATAAAGGAAGGGCCCAAGTCCCTTGGAATCAGGCTGTGCTCCTGGTTTCTATGGAAAGATGGTGATGTGGACTTGGAACATTGATGGATCGTACACAATGGAGTCCCTCCACAGTCACAGGCATCCATTTCTTGGTGTTTGAACTGGTCATTACCCTCACAAGCACCTAGACACTGTTGGGAATGCCCTGGAAAATTTCCCAAGCTTGGTATCCACAGACTCCTGGATTCCCTAGACTTTCCATCTCACCTGTCAACAGGATGGAAGAGAGGGAGGCTAGTCCATGGTGGGCAAGCCCTGGCAATCTTTCTGTAGGAAACTGCAGCAGCCTGAGAATAAAATCCTGCAACAGCTTCGGAGGCATGGGGATGACCTGTTTGTTGTGACCGAGGTGCTGCAGACAAAGGAGGAGGTGAAGATCACCCAGACCCACAGTCAGGAGTCTCAGGCAAGTTTACACTGGCTGGAGCCTCATGCTTCCAGGTATGTGATGCTACCCCTAACACCAGCCTAGTCCTACATGAGCACAGAGCAGGAATCTTAGAACTTGGGGCAACATCCCAGGCAGTGATGGAAGACTCTTCTAAGACCTTTCCAGAATCAAGCCTTAGCCCCACTTGCTCAGTTAGCTGGAACTGTTAAAGGCTGGATCAGCCATTACCAATGACAAGCCTGTCACCAAAACTCCACTTGTAGCTATTCACTCCACACCCCTGAGCCCATATCCATCCTTCAGGGTGATGGCAAGGGCCACCAAAGCTGGAAAAGAATGGTGACCCTTCCTCCAGGCAGCGTCCTTGCATTCCGAGTGGCGAAACTGCTCATTGGCTCTACATGGGGTGAGTGGCAAGGGACTGTCTCTAGAGTCCAGACTCTGTAGCAGAGAAGCACTTCAGCTAGCCAGGGGATGCTGTGGGTATCTGGCTGCATGACCTCCCAGACAGGATGGTAAAGTGTGTCAGGACTGAGATGTGGGTTGTAGGGGCAGGGTCTCATGAGGTCCCAGGAGCCCTGGGGATAATGGATTGATGACCTGCTTGCTTCTTCCTGCTGCCAGGTGTCCTTCTCCTCCCGGATGAGAAAAAGAGGACATTTGAGTGCTCCTCAGGTAAGGCCCGAGACACTCTGGCCCTACTTACCCCTTAGCTTTGAGGTGTTTTATGCTCAGAGCATGAGGTGGGCACACACCACACATACACATGTATACACAATGGGTGAGGCTCAACTCAGGTGATGTTGCTGGACTAGCTTAGCTTTCCATCTTCCATGGGCTGCCATTAGTAGGAGAGATGGGTTTAGGAGGGTCCAGGTAAAGATCTCATCCCTCTTTGACATGAGACAATGGTCCCTGGGTCACTAATCAAAACAGCTCTTCCCCTTCCACCATCCCGATTTGTTGTCTAGTCAACAGAAGTGTAGTGGACCAGGAGCATCATAGATTTAATCTGCTCACTGCACTACAGTCCATTGGTCAGAAGCTCAAATTCATGTCAGGTCAGTAACGCCTTGACCACCCTGGAAGTCCACTGCTTCTGCATCTGCTACCTGGACCTACCCCTCCTAACTAATGTTCCCCAAGACCTCATGGGCATCAGGTGGTAATTCCCTTAGTCCCTCCAGATGGAATACCTAAGGAAGAAGAATTCAGGGAAGACTTCCAAAGTCTGTGTGCAGAGGTGAAGGCTGGCTCGTTACAACTGGGGACATTAAAAATGGAGTTAAAACAACAGCTACTAGAGGACATTGGGAGGATTCTACAGGACCAGCCCAGCCTGGACGCCTTAGAGGCCTCAGTGAGTAAGAGTGCTGGTGGGGACAAACCTGGACAGGGTCTGGACAAACCTGCTCAGCCTCACTTTCTCCATCCCTACCTCAGCTATGGCAGGGCCTGTGCAGTGGAGAGAAGGTGGAGCCTCTGAATGGCCCAGCAGGCTGCATCCTTGAGTGTCTGGTGCTAGATTCTGGAGAGCTGGTGATGAAATTCGCAGCCCCTATCTTCTATCTGTTGGCAGCACTGAATGGTGAGCAGCCCAAGGTGGGGTTAGTAGGGATCAGGAAGGGAGGGCTAGGTTCTATATGGGGCATTCTGGAACCCTATCTCAGCCCAGATCTCTCCCCAGGGCTGAGTGAAACTCATCGGCCTCTGTTGGCTAAGCCTCTGGAGTCAACAGTACTGTCAAAGCAGCTGAAGTTGGTGAGTGGACCTGGCCTTTGGGGTGCAATGGGGCCCCGGGGACATCGAGGTTGACATGGGAAGGTGCTGCTTCCCTCAGGCTCAAACTACAGGCAGCATCTATAACCTCTTACCCTCCTCTGTTGGTAGGTGGAGCACATCTTGGAACAGAGCACCCCATGGAAGGAGCAGAGGTCTGTGTCCCTGCCCTCCGGGCTCCTTGGGAACAGCTGGGATGAGGAGGCTCCCACCTGGGTCTTGCTAGAAGAATGTGGCCTAAGGCTGCAGGTGGAACCCCCCCAGGTGCACTGGGAACCAACTTCTCAGGGCCCCACATGTGCTCTCTATGCCTCCCTGGCCCTATTGTCTAGTCTAGGTCAGAAACCTCATTAGCCTGCAGGCCTCCGTTCCAGCAACATCTCCATGTCCTACCCTCCAGCCAGGGCAGAATCTTGCCAAGCCCAGCCTCTAGGAAAGCCAAGTACCAAAGTCAGTCACTGGGTTAGAATGCAACGAGACCCAGGAGTTGGGAAAATTCAATAAATGTACAAACTAAAGCTAGTGCTGTGTTTCTGAGGGATAATGGATCATCAGTAGGAAATGGGAAGGGTGGGGTTTGCCCACACAAAATCAAGATATATATGATGGCTATCACCTCACTCCTGTGACCTACAGACAGGCAGATTCTGGGAATCAACGAGTCTCATGGTACAGGGGAGTTCCTGAGCTCTGTGTCTAGGGAAAAGATGTTTCTAACTGATGTGACCAAGGGGTTCTGATCACCCCTGGGAGCTTGCACAGCTAGGACAAGTGTTTGGTACTTGGTGGGGACCACACCACCTCCATAGTGCAGCTCAGCCTTAGCTTGCTGAGAGGTGGAAGTAGCAACAGCTTCTTCCTGATAGGTGCTTTCTTTCTCAGTTATACAAACAGGGCCAGATGAGACTAGATTAAAACTAGATATGGCAGGTTTCTTAGGAGGCAGCTCTCAGGTGGATTCACTGATGTCACATGTGGAGATCAGGGAAGTTTCACATCCAGACTAAAGCAAGAAGGTTTTATGGTTCTAGGAAGTGGAGTGATGACACGTGATCTAGGAGCTGGGACTGTGTCCATCCATGGTCAAAAACTGAGCCCCTGGCTGGAAACTCTGCGATGAGAAGTGATGACAAGTTACCCCAGAGTTTTCTCTGAGCAGGTGGAGTTGGGGGAAGGAGAAGCAGTTGGGGTTTCCTGGCTTGTTCAGGAAGATGAGCAGGGGTTCCATCCTAACATGCCAACCTCTTTATGTCCAGGGGCTCCCGTTCAGTTCTGGCTACTTCCTGCTGAAGAGGAATGGCATGAGGTGGGAGGGTGAGGAGTTGCTGGGTTTGAGCTTGGGAAGTATGGGTACAGAAGAAATTGGTTGTCTGTCATACTGGAGACTTCAAAAATCCCATTGGTGGAAGTACAGGGGAAAGCATGGGCCTAGAAGAAAAGTAGATTAGTATCTTCTGTCCTGTGAATGGGCTAGCCTTGTGTGAAGAGCAAAGGCTTCCAAAAAGAGTGGAATGCAGATGTTCCTGGTTTTATGGGCAGAGTTCTTTTTTCATTTTTAAAAATTTATTTATGTGTATGAGTAGACTGTCACTATCTTCAGACACACCAGAAAAAGGCATCAGATCTCATCACAGATGGTTGTGAGCCACCATGTGGTTGCTAAGAATTGAACTCAGGACATCTGGAAGAGCAGATAGTGCTCTTAACCGATGAGCCATCTCTTCAGCTCATGGGTAGAGTTCTTTACACAATTTGTGGAGTGACTCAGTCTGGGTCTCTATCAGGCTTGTTGTTTCCCCGGGGAACATGTAGGTCTCACACTTATCAGTCATGAGGAGAGAAAGATCCTCTACTTTTGTAGGACCACTGAAGCTTCTGAGTTTACACAAAGAGACACCTTAGCATTATCATTTGTACTGGCTGGTTTTAAGTGTCAACCTGACACTAGCTGGAGTTACCACAGAGAAAGGAGCCTCCCTTTAGGAAATGCCTCCATGAGATCCAGCTATGAGGCATTTTCTCAACTAGTGATCTAGGAGGGAGAGCCTATACTATTGTGGGTGGTGTCATTCCTGGGCTAGTAAGAAAGCAAGCTGAGCAAACCAGTAAGTAGCACCCCTCCATGGCCGCTACATCAGCTCCTACCTCTAAGTCCCTTCCATGTGTGAGTTCCTATCCTGACTTCCTTTGGTGACCAACAACATTGTGGAAGTGTGAGCTGAATAAACCCTTTCCTCCCCAACTTGTTTCTTGGTCAGGATGATTTGTTTGTACAGGAATAGAAACCCTGACTGAAACACCATTGTTTGAAATCTATACTGAAACTCACATTGTAGAAAAGACAGTAGACCCATACCTTTGTGTCATTGTAGAGGCTTGGCAAATGATTTTGGGTTAAAAGCATAAAGAATCTTTAAGGTGAACTCAGGGAACACAAACCTTCTGTAAGACAGAAGGGACAAGAGCTCCCTTGATCCTGATTTGCAGTATGATTAGAGATTGTGAAAGAGGGACTTCTTTCCTCTATCCAGAAGGCTGGATGCATATAGATTAGATGGACCTTTTTAATAAGAAACACTTTTAAGTCTATATTTAGAAAATAACCAGAGGAAATTTAAAATCTTGAGCTTGTGACTACAATAATAGTGGATCAACAGTGGAAGGCTTTATCAGAGTTAGACTAATAGTGGATCAGAACTCTAGTGGTTAATAGTTAAAATTTGAACTTTTGAAGCTTGATACAGCAGTAATATAGAGAGGGATCAGAATCAGAAGCACTTTCCATTTCTCCAGTACACATTAAATCATTTTTTGTATTGCCTAAGTTTTTACACCCTCCGTTCTTCATACCTTACATTTACCAATCTCAAAACACCTTCCTAGACCCTCGAACATTTTCTTAGATCCTTAAACACTTCCTGAGATGCTTTTGCATCCTCAGGCCTTACATAAACTTAAAACTTTATATTTTTGCCTATCCAATTATTTGACATGAGATGTAGGTGGTTGATCATTGAGAGCAGTCATTGTAAAGTGAGTTTCTTTAGATAAAGGAATTGTAAAAAGTTATATAGAAATCTTTCGTAAGTCTGGTAATAAGGTAAAATGTGTCTTGACCCAGCAGTGGCAGCTTTAGGAGAGTGAGGGTTGAGGATTGATCTTTACCCATGAAGAGGACTGAGAAGGCAGCTGAAGCCTGGGTTTTTGTTATTAAACTGACCCTCAAACCATGAGACCAAAGAAGTACTTATTGTCCTTTTACATTTCTTTGTTTAAGAAATATTTAGTTCAGGCAGAGGCAGGCGGATTTCTGAGTTCAAGGCCAGCCTGGTCTACAGAGTGAGTTCCAGGACAGCCAGGACTACACAGAAAAACCTTGTCTTGAAAAGCCAAAAAAAAATATTTAGTTCAGTACTTCATTCATTCATTATTTTTTCTTTATATGTGTGCCATGTGTACAGGGTCCAAAGTGTTGGATCCTCTGGAGCTAGAATTATAGTGGTTGTAAGCCTCCTGATGCAGGTGCTGGGAGCTGAACTCTGGTCCTCTGGAAGAGCAGGAAGAGCTCTTAAACTCTTCCTATCCCTCCATCATCTCTCCATCATCTCTCCATCCCACCATCATTTCTCCATCTCTGCAACATCCCTCCATCTCTTCATCACTCCACCATGTCTCCATCTCTCCATTCCTCCATCATCTCCCATCTCCCCATCATCTCTCCATCCCCATTGATTGGTTGATTTGATATTTTGTAGCATAAAATTCGCAGCTCTTTGATCTGCTAGCTGATGTGTAGTAGGTAAATACATCTTCCCGTTGTGTCAATCGTGTCTCCACTCTTGTGATTCTATCTTTTGCTATAGAGTAAGCAGCATTTTAATTGTATGTAATTTGTCTAGTCTTGGGGTTGACCCTGTGCTGTGGGAGTCCTGACAGAAAATCCTTGTCTCTGTGTCTTGATGTGTCTTTGTCTCAGATTTTCAAAGCTTCAAGCCTTACACTGTGGTCTTTGATTCATTTTAAACATGTTTTGTTAAAGGGGCTGTCTTCCCCCCCCCAACCCTCAGTATATGTTTTTGGAAGGTTTATCACAAATGAGGTGTACGTCACTGTGTGTGTCCTGCTGGGTCCTCCTTCCACACCATTGGTCTATGGGTCGGTTACAGTGGCTCAGAACAGAAGCTGAGGATCCAGTCCTGTCATTCACCCAGCACTGCTAAGAATTCCTTCAGCTAGGGCTGGAGAAAAGGCCCTGGAGGTTAAGAGCACTGACTTCTCTTCCAGAGGTCCTGATTCAATTCCCAGCAACTACATGGTGGCTCACAACCATCTGTAATGGGATTGGATGCCTTCTTCTGGTGTGTCTGAAGAGAGCTACAGGCTACTCATATACACAAAATAAAGAAATAATTTTTTTAAAAAATTCCTTGAGATATTTGGGCGTTTTTTGTGCTTACATGTGAATTTTTGAATTACTATTTCTAATAGAATGTAACTATATATTTGATGGAAATTGTGTTGACTCTATACATTGCTTTCAGCAATGCAGCCTTTTCCATATGCTGAATCAGCCTACCCATGAGCACAGGAGACGTTTACACCTTCTAGTGTTTTCTTCACCAAGATACTTTTTGGTTTCATCCTCTACTTGAGAGGGATGAATTGGGAGGAGTGGGTGGCACCAATACCGGGCAGACCATGCTTCACAGGCTTGTAGGTGATGGAGAACTCACCCAGGTAGTGTCCGAACATCTCTGGTTTGATTTCCACCTGGTTGAAAGTATTGCCATTGTACATGCCCACCATGCTGCTGGCCATCTCAGACAGAATGATCATGTCCCTAGGTGGGTCTTCACCACCTTGGGCTTCACCATGGGTGGTGCCTCCTTCTTGGCCTTTCTCAACAGCTTGAGCAGTGAGTGCTGCTTCTGCCTCTATTGTGTGCTATACAGCTGCATCAGTGGCTCACAAGACATATTTAGCAGTTGGTCAAGGTCTATGCCTTGATAGGTTAACTTACACTTGAAAAAGGTCTGCTTCTTCTTCTGCTTCACTTCAGCCATCTTGGCAGATGCTTGGAAAAGGATGTTTTGTGTTTCTTAAGTTTTAAAATTATACACATTCTGTGTGTCCACGTGCACACACATGTACCTGTAACCAAGAGATTCTGGTAACTTGTGCTTTCAATTTCCCTTAATTCTAGAAACTTTCTCATTTCTTCCCTGATTTCTTTGGCGACACACTAGTCACTGAAAGGTGTGTTTTTGGTCTCCATGTATTTATGGAGTTTCTGTACTTTTCACATTACTGATTTCTAGTTAACTACACTATCATCTGATACAATATAAGAGATTATTCTGATTCTTTTTATTTGGAAAGACTCGATTTGTTGTCTGAGTGGAGTTTCCAGGGCACAG